GTCGCTATTCAAAAGGTACGAGTTTCGTACCTATATAAGTCATTTAAAACCCGAAGATCGGAAGGGATTGAAGATATGAATCTGATGACGCACAAGAGTCCAAATTCAGCATTAAATATTAAATATGTTAGAGAATTTGTATTTAATAAGAATGATTGAGTAACGTTTCTTTTAATGTCATTTATTGCTCATAATTTCCTCATTAAGACAAAGGCATTATACCTTCTCCTAAAATCAACTATAAAAGGAGAAGGACTCGACATCTGTAAGGGGACAAGAAATATTATTGAGATTACACTGAAATACAAAGTCAAAAGTCTTTTATTATTTTCGTCTCTAGATTATCAGTAACCCGAATTTCTTTATATTTCTAAAGCTTTGACCAAAGACTCAGACTTTTGGTTAAACAGTTGTTACCCATTGTATTGTATTGTATTGTTACTTTAAATACGATGTTTGTTTTGATTGTTACTTAAATTTTATTGTATCGTATCGTTAAATCCGTCGTTACATAACAACGAAATGTGTCACTTTATGTAACGACAGATTTGGTGTGGTCGCTTCGTTACCTTGTCTTTTTCTTTCAATTTCACCCTTTTAATGTGGCGGATATTGAGTAGTGATGTCAGATTCATCTAAACTCAATGTTTTCGATGCGAAATATAAATTTATATAAAAAATTTATTAATATATAACAAATAATAGGTATAAATTCATAAATTTAAAAATACAATACATTCGGTGCGAAAAACTTTAAAAGTTTGAAGTCACAAAATTAAAATCTTAATTACGCATGTGTCAGCGTTTGCGTTAATTTAACTAGTTAATCAATGGATGAATGTTGTTTGGTTTCTTTTTTCCTTTTTGTTGGGGTCCAAGAATCACTCAATATATTTATTTGATTCACCCTAGGTAGATTAATGATAGAATAAAACACTCTTTAATTATCAATTTAAAAACTCTATAATGGTGAATGAATTGCTTTGAACCATCCCACCACATTCTTGATATTAACAAATGTAGGGGTGGCAAACGGGCAAGTCGGATTGGATATGGTTCGGATCGAAAATGGGTAATGAAAAAACACGTAAATTATCCAATCCGACCCATATTTAATACGGATAAAAAATGAGTTAACCGGCGGATAATATGGGTAACCATATTATCCATTACTTCTTGCATATGATCATTTTTGGGAGAATTCCTAGTCTTCCTAACTTGAGGAACCCCCAATTTGAGGCTTTACAAATATAAAAGTTAGAACCATTGGTTATCCATTTTCTAAATGGATAATATAGTTCTTATCCATATTTGATCCGTTTTTAAATAGTTTATTATCCAACCCATTTTTTAATGGATAATATTGGTGGTTAACTGTTTTCTTTGAACCATTTTATCATCCCTAAACAAATGCAGTGGCAGAGCCACCTTATCCAAGGGGGGTGTTAACTGATATCCTTTTGTTCGAAAAATTATACTATGTAGCTCGGTAATTTTTACTTGTTATGTATATATTATTATACGTGGAATCCCCTTGACTTTTTCGTATGTTTACTTTTTTGACACCATTTAATAAAAATTCTGACACTACAAATGCTTCTTTCACCAAATGCAAAATAGTGAAGTAGCCAAGTAGGGATTTTAGTGTTATTGATATACCATGACTTGACTTACATTTAGCTGAAATTTACCTATTTTTTAAGCTTAACAGAATAAGAGTAACATGATTACTGACCTTATTTGAATAATAAACAAATAGTAGAACTACTTTCTGTTTTTATGTTGTGAGCCTGTGGGGCATATGTAGCCTCAACATCACATTACTATTTCCTATACACTGTAAATTTTCGTGAGGCAGGTCCGGTGCATCACCGACTTTTGACATCGAGTGCGCTTCCACGGCACCGCCGCATCACGTGGCTGGGCCCAGGGGTGGGCCAAAGTACAATTTACAGGTTTGGCAGAATTCAAAAGTTTCGGTTTAAACGATGTATTTATCTTAAAAATATATTGAATATGTACAAATTATTAATTAAGAACTCAACAATTCAAAATGATTAGAATTCTGAACTCGTAAATTTTAAATTCTGGCTTTATTCCTGGCTGGGATAGTGTATAAACCCGATTAGATAAGAAAGTTAGGGAAAAAAGGACTTTTAAAATTTGCGGTCTAAAATAAGTTTTACATATTTGTATAGCTAAAAATTATCTCACTGAGAGTAAAATAAGAATTTTAAAGTTAAACTTTTTCTAATTTTAGAAAGGTAACATTCTTTTTTAGACAAACAAAAAAGGAAAGTATGTTACATAAATTGCAACGGAAAAGTAATTCTTATTGCCTCATCGGGTCTATGCACTATTCAAATCGGCATATTATAATTTTGAATTTATTGAACAGTTACCTATATGGAAAAAGAGTAAGGCTCGAGAAAGTAAATAAGGGGTCAAGAAAAAAATTAAGGGAATTCGAGAGAAAAGTTAAATAAAATGTGACATTGAGATTTTGAGGCTATGCTCACAGAAGATGTAATAGCACATGTACTATTACTGTTACATCCCAGCACTAGCTGTTAGATTTGGATGAGTCTTTGTTAAGTTATTTTAGGTTGTAATTTTGTATTAGTTACGTATTTTTTATCTTCTTCAATTAGTTTGTTTTTATATGGATCATCTATTACTACTTTTTAGGAGTTATTTTATACCGATTATTGTTTTCTACTTTCTAGGAGTTTGCTTAGCATAATTGGTTTCTTTCTTATATAAATTGTATTGGAGGCATTTTTATTCCAATTTTTTGCTTTTATATGATATCAGAGTCAAAACCATACCTTAATAAGTAAACTATCCAAGATCCTTTTTATTTTTGCGCTCTGCACATTATTTCAAACACTAATTCAATTCCACCCATAGGCTCATTAAATGGATTTTTTCCTATCTATACCATATATGAAAACTTATTACTAAAAATGTGCATATTTCCATTATTACCCGCCATGTTTATATTTTTCCTACAAAATTTATATCATTCATTAAATACCCAATATTAAGAGCTGATTCCTTCCAAATTAGGAGCCTACAAATCTGGGATAAAATTTTGAATAGCTTATTCCTTCCAAATTAGGCGCCTAAAAATTTGGGACTAAATATTTTTTCATATTCACATTAGATTTGTTTCCTCCTTTTTCTGCAGGCTTCTCTTTCCTCATTTTTCACGTATTTCTGTTTCTCTAAGTATATACCAGTCTTCCCTTTCTAAAGCTCAGAGTCTTTTTGATTTGGTTCTCCTCTTTTTTCTTTTAGGAATGACTGAGCATATTTAAATATGCAAGGCTCTGTTTTCGTCAACTATTCGAAGGGAGGAGCTCTTGTTCTTGACGGGAGTGAGCTGATGCGCTTGGGTCAACAAANTACAAATCAATTTTTCCAGGATTGATGAAGAACAAAACAACAGAAGATGCAGAAGATGGGCCACCAGAGTTGCTCTTTATTCATGGTGGCCATACAAGTAAAATTTCTGACTTCTCATGGAACCCATGTGAAGACTAGGTCGTCGCTAGTGTTGCTGAAGACATTATACTACAAATCTGGCAGATGGCGAAAAACATCTACCACGATGAAGATGATATACTCAATGGGTCTCATCCCTGTATTTTTTGAGAAGAAGAAGGAATGGAGAAGAGAAAGAAATAGGAGGGGGAAAACGAATGTGGTCAGATCTTAGGAATTAAGGGGAAAGAGAAACGTGGGATATATGAATACCTTTAATTAAGGAGTAAAAACTGCCCATTAATTAGACCCTTAATTAAGTATGGTATAGGATTGGTAATTTGGTATACGGGTTTGTAATTAAATCAAACCTTAAACATTGAGGGTAATAAGTTTTCATATATGATATAGATAGGTAAAAATCTCTCATCAAATACACATGCTTTTCATTCCAATACTTTGCTTTTTTAGGATCCAAAATCTATAATTCGCTCAGTTTCTTTTCTTTCTTTCTTTTTTTGCCTTTTTTTGTTTAGCTACACGAATAAATATTTAGCTCCTTTGGTTGATCAAGATCTTGTAATAATAAAAATATTTCTCAGCGCTAACCAAAAATTAGTAGCCCCATGTCCAAGACCAACATGGCAAAGTTATATTGAGGAACAATATGTTTTATCATTGCATCAATAGGCTCAATACACCACAGCCCCACCTCAAGTTTTACGACTTTATAACACACTTGACTTTCTGAAGTATCACCTAATATTTGATTCTCAATCTCAATCTTTCTTTGGAGGCAATGTTGGTCTAATTAGCCTGTCCAAATAGACTCTTAATGTGGTATGATATTGTCTGATTTGAGCTAAATCTAACACGGTTTTCTCAATAAGTCTCACTCAATTAAAATTATCCTTGTACCTTATATGCAAATTATTTTCTTATCAACTTCTAATATTGGACTTTGTCTACACATCTAACGGGAACGACCAAAGAGATAGCAGCATCATGGTTCCATGACTGTAATTCGACAAGCATAGCGGACCTATACACAGAGAAGAGAGGTCACCAGACCCCATTAACCTCGGCAAAATTCTAGATATATATATAAGTTGAAAATGTGTATATTTTGTCTGGAATCCTTAAGATCAAAAATCTAATGTCTGCTCATATGGCCCCACCACCTTCAAATTCTGGGTCCACCGACAAGTTACCATTACTTCCCATAGTCCATGACTCCATGTTGGGATCAACAAGGTGGGAGTTGGGACTCATTTATTTCTTAGGCCAAACGGTAAAAATAGTTTCACTTTATCTACTATCACGTTGAATTGTGCGAGCTGTCTCATCTAAAAGATTAAGATGTTAGCGAGTTGACACTTTCTGTTTATTTATTTATGCTTGCAACAAACATAATAAGATCAGAAGTTCCAAAACTTTTTCATGAGAGTCATCAGAAGCACCCCTTTTCCCCTTACCTCAGAAACTTACAAATAATAGAAATATAGAAGAGCAAGACAGAACAAAATTATGGCTGCATATCATTGATCATATCATGAATAAGATCACCAATAATCTGGTATTCAATATCTTTTCCGACAGCATTAACATCTTCATCAACTAATCCAGTCCAAGGCATAGATTGCAAGTCTCGGGCTAGTATAGTTTCGAGAGATTGAGATGACATATCAGATGAAGGGTAAACATAAACTCTGGCAATTTCCCATACACAATCTAATAACTTTTTTCCCCGTAGAGGTAGAGGTCGTGCAGTCGGAACAATAGTACTTTTCATATAACTCAAAACTGTAGAAGGTACTCCAAGTACATCCGGAAGCATTTCGTTCATGAAATCACACAACAACTTGTGATTAAACTTCTGGAATTGATCACTTGTACATGCTTCTTCAATATCATTTCTCTTTTTCTTGTAAGACGTTTCGACTTCTTCAAAAACTTGGTTGCTGACTGGCTTTCCGAATGGATCCCATTTTGATAGATATTTATCACATGAACCATCATATAAACCAGAAGCAACAAGAAGATCTCTAACGAATGATTCAGCTGGATCGTCAATCTCCATTATCTCCTCTTCGACAGACTGCTCATCAATCATTGACTCCTCAGAGTCATAAGTTTCTAGCTGATTCAATTTCCTCCTTAGCTCTGTGTTATGAAAGTTACAAAATATCATTAACTTCGTTAAAACTTCAATGCAGTTCTACATTTATGATATAGTATTTGAATTAGTAGCCCATTCTTGGGCAATCGAGAAAGGCACTAAGTTAAAAGTGCAACAAAGGCATGAAATTCTTGGAAAATCATCAAGTGTAGTTAATAATCCAAGGCAACTGTGTTGAATCCCACATTGGCTCAAGATGGATAACTTGGACTCTTCATATGGTCTTGGACAATCCTCACCTCTTGAGCTAGGCCCAAGGTCCGTTTATCACGGTATTAGAGTGAGGCCCATCTCATTATTTACCCAATGTTGGGCACCAATCTTATATTGTCCATGCTCCAGATGTCCAATCTTGGGCATGTGGGGAAGTGTTGAGTCCTTTGTCGGCTCAAGATGGGTAAGTTGGACTACTTATACGGTCTTGGACAATCCTCACCTCGTCAGCGTCCGGGAGAGTGTTGAGTCCTCCGCCTGCTCATGGGTAACTTGGACTACTCATATGGTCTTGGACAATCCTCACCTCATTAATATCGGACAAATATAGCGAGATCATAGTTGAAGTTTCTCATTATAACATAGTTAGAACGGTAAACTGTTAAATCCATCTCATGTCAAATAGTAATCATGCCTGAAATGTATCATAAACTATGAATGTAGCATATGTATAGATAAGTTTTTACTTATACCATTCAGATTAGAGCTGATCTCTTTGAAAACATGACACATTTCACTATCATCCGGCGGATGTATATCTGAGGTTGATGATAAGCTGCAACAATCTGTTTGCCTCCAAAATTCTTCATTAGTAGTGCTGCATACAGATGCAGGACTTGGCGGGACTTCAGTGGAATTTTCCTACAACAAAAATAAAATAGTAAAAGTTAGATATCGATACCATATTTGAGATCTAAATTCCAATATATTTGAGGCTTCTTACATGAAATTTGGATGCAACAGTTGGTGTGTTTAGAAGATCTTTCATGTGAATTTGTTTGTTTCCATTTGATTCCTCCAAAGATTGAATCTTTCTACCAAAGAGCTTTCCTTTAAGTGCAAAACTATATTTAAAGCTGGAAACCTTTTCTCTAAGGTTGAATTTCTCTTTTCTGCACTTTTTGATGTTTATTTTGACCTTCTCAGAAGCTTCATGTTTTCGCCTAATATGAGCCCCCGTCAACATATGTTGATCCTCTAGGAGAAGCTTTCCGAATGATGATCGCGATACAGGAGCAGACAAAGATCTAACTAGGTTCCTATGAAATAGTTCCTGGTCAAGCATTACATTATTACTCAACTCTTGTCTGAAATATCTGCTCTGCATGTCTGATTTGTGATCTTTCATATCGTCCCTATGTCTCACTTTACTAGCAATATATCTGCTTTCTTCAGCTCTGCTCTTTTCCAAAAATCTCCTTTTATCTCTATTGGTGAACTCAGAAGAACCATTCGCGTCACATTGAATTTCACTTCTATAAGACCTCATTGATTTTGATCGAGGTAGAGTCGTTCCAACGTCCCTAGTAACACTCTCTCTCACCTGTTTTGCAATAGACTGAGCTATCTTCTTTGCTTCTGATGGCTTTTCGGTATAAGACGTACCAATGACAGTAGTGCTCCTTCTCAAACTCTTTTCATGCAATTCACATTTTAGTCTTTCCTTAACCTCCTGAAGAAATTCTTCTATGCTACTCCCATCTTCGGATATGCCAGGGGAACTGGCCCGTGATTCTTTGCTATCCCCCGTCCTATCACAAACAGGCCTCAAAATTACAATCTTTGTAGGAGTTGAAGAAACATCAAGTCTCTTTGAGTTCGCGTAAAGAACCAACTTTTCCTTGTTCAGGCGTCGTTGTGCCAACCACTGATCAGTATTTGTGCCAAATTCAACAAACTTTGAGCATTCCTTAAACCTTGTTGCTTGCCATGCTTCAAACTCCTTCTTAAACTTTTGTAGTTCCTCTTCCTGTGGATGTTCTCGGGGTTTAAGTTTGTTGAGCTTCAGGCTCTTACTCCGTCTGTCAATATTACATGCTTCATTGTGATCAAACGAGTTGAAATTCTTTTGTATCGAGGAATGTGTTCTGTGATCAAAGGAACCTTTTCTCAACCATTCCTCTCTGGGAGGATGTCTATCCATCATTTCATTCTTCTTTTCGACCTTCTTTGTTGATGGTTTTGTATCCACGGATAACATATCTAAGCCCATCAGACGGGCGACAACACTAGGTGCATTCTGTCCTGAGTTTGGAGTACTTCTTGATAATTCTTCACTGATCAGTTTCTTCATTGGAGCGTCATTGAAATAACAGTTGTTCTCTGACCAGTCATTTGTCATGTGATAAGTGCACTGTATTTGAGCAAGTAATGAGTTAAATTGCAAAAGCTCAACCAAATGAGAACCAAATATCTCAAAACTTTCATTCAAAGCCTAATTTCACTCTTGTGATATATCAAAGAAATAACAAACTGTATTCAAAACAAAAAACCATATATTAATTTTTTGAGACACCATAAGCAAAAGGAAACCAACGGTAAAAACTTACCCGCACCGGGTGTTTACACCAAACCAATAGATATATGACATGTGTCTTGCATATGGACTTCAATCATTTAACCATGGTAAATTATATGCATTCTCATCTAATTAAACTAATTAACCATGGTGAGTTAATATAGTTTGGTGTAAACAGCCGTTGTGGGTAAGTATTTACCGAAACCAAATGATATGTAAAAGTTGACAGACATGTAGAATGTGAATCATCTTAAGTTCAAAATACCAATGTTTTTACTGCATGACTTCTCCTTTCTGGAAAGCTATGACTCCACAGCACCTAATGCATCTATTGTGAAACTTAGGATTAAGTTGACAAAATGATGATCAAAGAGAAGAACCAAAAGCTCAAGAAGTCTCCAAATTTCCATTACCAGACATTGAGTATTTTGTCATCCTGAACTTGCAAAATGCTTAAATAGTAGAAGATGATCGCAGGACGACATTGTTGCGGAAGCCAAATGTATAGAGTGTGAATAAGTCACAACTACTATACCAAAAATTATNGGGGGCGCACTTCTGGATTAAACAAAAATCTGCTTTGTATATAGGGTGTCCACTACTAATATATCACTATTTTACCGATCTTTACGTTGCTGATGACCCCTCTCGCTATAGCATAGGTCCGTCTTTGCCTGCAGATACAATAAGAAGAAATGAAGAGATTTATCAGGTGAAAAAATATTGTGTAGGGAAAAAGGAGATTTGAAGACAAAAAAAGGCATAGTTCTTCACTTAGTATGCTGATTGAGGGATAACTAACTGCAATTATTTTCATAAAATGAAGAAACTATTGTGGTCTATAATGCAACTAATAGTCTCATATATCTAAGGCAACAAATAAATTTACTAAAAAGATGCTTATATGCAGTGAATAAGTTTTTTCTTTCTCCTTTTCCTAATAGGGAGCGCTTCCCCTTTTTAATGGGCTCTACGTTGCGCGAATTCAGATTAGTCAGGTTATTGAGTTCCGGATATTGAATGGTTAAACAAAAAAAAAAAGATTCTAATGCTAAATTAGAGAAATGTGAAGAAGTAAGAATATGTACTGACAGAAAGAGAATTGCAGAACAACTTATTTAGAGAGCTCTGCAGTTGACGTGGACTCATGAATGAAGGAGGAGAAGAATGGAGAATTGTGAAAAATTTAATATAACTCCATCAAATCTTAATAACATTATTTAAAAACAGAATTTAAGATAACAGCATAGCTTAACGGTCAATTAATTTGGAATGGATAGTGGAGATGAAAGGTTCTAATTTTGGTAGAGTCAAATCAATCATGCGTGATTTCTTTTTGTTTGTCTAAAATTTTGGTGGATAGTGTTATATATATTGGTAGAATATAATAGGAAGTGCACACAAACTGACAGAAAAGTATTCCTATAAAAAAAATTATTAGTAATAAATTTGACTACACATTGCATTAGTTTTAGGGGAAAAAGAAGTCATTGTTGAAAATTTCATTTAAATCAATATTAAAAAAGGAATTACATAGTATGAAATATTACTAGTGAGGAAATATATCAAATGTTTAAATATAACGAATTTTTAAATGAAGAGAGTCGTAGTAGCATATACTGGATGAATTAGTTAAATTGTGTGTAAACTGATCTAGACATCACAGTTGTCAAAAAAGGAAAAAATAATTATTTGATTTTATGATGCATATTAGTTTAGGTTTTTAAAAGAGAGAACATCTCAAGAAAGTTAATTTGATAAAAGAACATCACATTATATTTAAATTTTAAAAAGATAGATAAATATTATGTGAAAATAATATTAGAAGTAAAATGGTGTCCAATAATATTAGTTCTAAAATCAAGACTGTGGTAAAGACTATGAGAATTAGAAGAAATATATATAATAAAATAAAAAAATAAAAAAGCATTGCCTTTTTAGCGTGAGAGTTCATTGATGCAACCATATCCTCCAGAAAACTAATGTTGTTGTTCTACCCCAAAATTGAAGTACAAATTTTCTTCCTATGTCCTTTTCTTTATTATCGTTCACTTTTTTTTCCAATTTAAAAAGGGTTAGAATCAAGTAAGTACATTGGACCACAAGGAGTAAGGTATACGATCTTTACAAGAAATATATATATTTAGCAGCTCCCAAAATAATAGCCGATAAAATATATTTTTTTTGTATGTTGGTATATTATTACATATAATATATATATATATATATATA